GAACCTTAGGAGTGAACCGCCAGTTCATTTTTCAAAATGACAGATGTGATGAAAATTGGCCAAAGGCTTGGAAAAAAAAAGTGGGGGTCAGGGTGAGGGAAGCAGATGGGGATGGAGAGGAAGGTATTCCAGAGCCCTCTGGAGCCTTGGACTCCTCTAGGACCCATTAAAAGCTTATGTTACTTGCACCATTTATAAACAAGTGCTTTCTTTTGCCATCATAACCTTCCTCATACCAAGCGCTTAGGAAGTGTTGACTGCTGTCTTCTGCTGAAGCAAGGCACCAAAAATGATGGCAAGTTACAAATCAAATACCTTTGATTTATTACCTTTCCCAAGTTTCAGGAGGTTTGTTGTGATTCCTAAGTGACCTTAGTAAACCGACGAATCAATAGCACATCTGAATGGCTGACGGACTGCAATGGGAAGTTTCACTGCCAGAAGGATTACATCAATGCTGGCAGAGGACAGACGGTAGAAATGTGGACTGCAACCCATGCCTGTTCTTTGCATTCTTTTGCTTTTATTATTGCCCCTGCTGTCATCAAGGTAGGAAATTTCAGGATGAAAAACCACTGCCATTCTCCATATGAAACTTCTTCACTCCCTTCACTTATTTGCTCTGTTGCAGAGACTTTAATTTTTATTGATTTTAGCATTACACAAAATACAGATTCTAGCAACACATTACAGCCATATTTACTATAAAATAATTGTTAGTAGGGTACTGTACCCACTATTTTTTTTTAGTTTCTCCCTGTATGTTAGGCACATTAGAATCAAGCAAGAAACAAATCAACCCCGGAAGAAGAGTAATGAGACATTTGTAATGAGACACTGAAATTTTCATCTCTGTGTCAAAGACCAATTTGCACTGGATAGGTAGCATAAGATAGCAGTTTTCACCCTGTCACTAGATAGTTTCAGTGGAAAACATTCTACCTCCAGGAGTAGAGTGCTGTCCCCTAATAAACTGCTAGTGCAGGCTGCCATGTTACCAGGGAGGCTGAACTTTAAGTCCCCCCAAGTCATCAGGACAGAGATGCACTGGTACTGCATGGAAATCTGCACAACTTCGTACTGTCTTTGCCCTGGGAAGAGAGACAATGCCAGGGATTCAGCCTTCCCAGGTGTCAAGATGGATACAATGAATAAAACAAGTGCATATTTTACCTAATAAAGCAGGATTTCTGCATTTGATTCCTGCACACTTCAGGATGCAGAAGAAATAACAAGAAGGATATTACCGCACAGAAAAAAGAAAACCAGAAGCAAGTTGAAATAGTGCAAAAAGAAAGCAGAAGTAATATGCAATATGGAAAGATATTTTATCCGAATCATCTGCAAACAAAGCAGATAGGCTGGAGTTTGCATTTTCTTTTGAACCGTAAGCCAGCTTCTCTTGCAAATCAGAGGAGCTCCACTGGCAGTGAGATTCAAGAAAGATTCAAGAAAAGTGTAACAGCGTGATAGACAGGAAGTATGTCTCCTTGAAGAAGATTAAATTATAAAGAAACCATACAGGAAGATTAAGGGAGCAAGAGTAGTCAGAGGAGCAGATATTGATCACTTATGCAGGACAATTGAATTCCTTGGCAACTGCCTGCCTCAGCCAAAAGGGATGCAATATTTGTGTCAGGCAGCTGCAAACTGCAACACAGACACCCATGAGTTGCTTGTGGATCAGTCTTGTTCCAATCAAAAACTGATGGATGGCTACTTCTATTGATTGGAGTGGGAAGACTCAGGAAACAGAATCGAGATGCACAGAATTTTGAAACTATATTATTGACATGTCCTGGATGTACAAGTAAACATAACTTTCAGCCAGCCAGCGTACATCAAGAAACAAGACATCCCAAGAAAGAAAACCACAAAAAGCAGTGCAACCCATTCCTGGAAGCAGCCACAGTGCAAGCTGTTGCAAGGACTGCTTTCCAAGAGCTCCTCTGAGTGTTGCCTGTGAGCCACGTAGGGCTGCTAGCAAAGGGAACAACTACTGCCAGCAAAGAAACTCAATGTGAACTAAATACTGCCATACTAATGGCACGAGATAGGTGACTAATCCTAATACCATTTACCCAGTTCCTTCTTAAAAATAGTGCTGGGAGAGGTTCCCACACTGCTTCTTTTCTTGCGAATAGTCATATTAGTGGCTTACGAAGAGTACCAAAGCTCCCTCTTCTCAATTAACTGACTCTCCCTCGCTCAGGAATAGCAGATGCTGTCAAGCAACAAACAGATAATCCTCAAGAAAGGAGAGCTACTAATCAGTCACTTTTACATTTAAGATCACTTGGAGTTGCCACTGCCTTATACTGTTTTTCTAATTAATTGCACTGGAATGCACTTAAGCAAGCCCCGGATCAAAGAATCATCTGCACAGATTGAAATAAATCCTGTCTGTGTTGCTAATGCCTTGGAAATGGATGGCTTGCTAAGCATTCAAAATCCTGGGTACCAATGGTTTAAAACTACAGATAGTGTGAGACACTTTCCAAGGAACAGATTTAAGAATAAAGAGGAAAAAGCTCTCTTGGTTTGCTCATAAAAGATGAAAAAAGGCAATGGTTCAACTAATTTATTGTGAAGTTTGTGTATCTTAAGTTCCTTATTGTCCACTTTCCTATCACCAGAAATCACAGCGCATGAGTGTCAATTTTAATTGCAGCAAAACTTTATCGTCATTACAGATTTCTTTTTTTAATTCACTTTTATGAAGGGTTGAAATATTTTCAAAATAATTATAAATAAAAATGACTGGGGATGGATGTGTTACCAGTTGGTGCAATAAATCACTGTCTCTTGCATGAGTCTTTCTCTCATGGTTTAGACTATCATCAGAACGCCTTTGATTGATTTACAATTTAGTAATCCAGCCATCATCATCCATAATTCTACAATAAACCACGCCACTTAATGTAGCTGTTACAGATGTTCAGAAGTTCATTCCGTGCCTTTTAGGAGGTGATATCTAGACAGCAGCTGCAGACACCAGGATTAGCTGAGGAAGAAAAATCTGTCTTCAGCACAGGAAAACATCCCATTTTCCTGTAACAATGCCCTGTCTTTAAAGCTGAAAGACATGCTGCCAACCTTGATATATCCAGGTTCAATTATTAAACACCAAACATCTATATGCATACCCTTGCTAGTTGGCAGGAGTAACAAGATGCCTGGCTTCTGTCTAAACCACATTATTTCCTGGGAAATCAAGACGTTGCTAAAAGCTCTATGCAACGAATCCATCAAAGGGTATGCAGTGAAAAGCAACTGATCTTGCACAGGCCATCAAGAAACCCGTGTTGCAGTGCATTCTGCATGTGGCACAGCATCCAGAGTCAGACTTATGAAAGTGCATAGAGTTTGCTTTTAAAAACACTGCAGAAATTGGGCTGAGGTAGGCAGGAAGGGCTGCAGCCTGACGAAGAGGGTGCTATTCATTATGTACTGTAACCAATACCAGCCCTTCCTGACAGCACAACTGGAGACTTCATGGGCATCATTACTCATTTTTTCCAAATTACTGATCTGAAAACAGCAAGTTAATTCTTGGTTTCCACTTGTTTTGCGTGAGCCTGAAAACAACACAGCATGAGCTGGCCTTCAATTAACACTTTTGTTAATACCATTTCCTAAAGAAAAGGAAAATATGTAACATGCACAGTACAAGGTGCAGGTATTTTACACCAAACAGCACTAGTACTTTCTGCCAACCTCAGCAGCCACAGTTCATTTAAAACAGGCCTACAGAAATATGCAACAGGAATTGTCAAGTGATGGTCTAGGTCACAGAAACAATTTCTCTCCTAAGTGAATCGCCATACTAAGGAAGCTCACAAAGACTGCAAAATTCATTAGCGGAGCAGTGCTGGAAAGGTCTGCTCCAAATCCATCACTGATCCGTCTAGGCTAGCCAGCATCCTGTCTCTGACAGTGACCTGTCCCAGGCGCTGCCGAGAGAGGTGCAAGGAATAGCAAAGCTATTTCTAATTACAAGAATCCTCTTGTTTCCTCTTAGTTGCGCTTGCAGGAGTCACAGGTCAGATTTGTGGTTTGGGTCTTCAGAGGGACATTTGAACCTTCAAAACTTCAACAACCACGGGATTTCTCTGTTGGGTGATATCTTAGATCGATACAGTACGTGGCTGAAAGAGGTAGCAAATCTGAGTGAATTTAAGGTCCAATGAAATACCAAGTGAGTATTTCACAGGGACAGCACCCCTGCACTGTGAAGAAGGGATATCATGTCCTAACTAACCCTGGGTCCTTCTGCTTCTAAGGGTGCTAAATGAGATACCTTGCACTGTGGCTAGCAGGAGCACTTAGGAGTACCAGAAAAGCAGCAATGTGTTGAATGTGATTTTGAAAAGCAGCTTTTTGATTAATAAATCCTTGAGAGGCTTTTTGGTTTTTTTTAAATACAGGCCAATGTTACTGCCTTGCCTTCCATTTGAAGGACTCTGGAGGCATCCTAGCTGGCTGAAAGGCAACCAAGCTCCTCTGCAGCTCTGCTGCAAGTAAGACTAATTATGCGCTTGAAAGCATACATTGCAATTCCCCCAAGCACCGCTTTCAACTCAGGAAACCCCTCTGCACCTCTCCAAAGGAAGCACGCAATGGGAGTACTCCCCCTGCTTCTGCC